ATAGTGGGAAAATTCATTATCATTTCTTTATCATTTTAATCCACCCAGGGTGACTAAATCTCCGGTTTATGCTTCTCATTTTATTTCTAGTTGATTTTATTATTTCATGAGGCAATCTAGCTTTTAAAAAGTGTATATATTTTTAATTTTGTCTTTTTAATGCTTATTTATACTTATTTTTTGTTGGCATTAGTTTTTTAATACGCTTCCAGTTTTAATTTTTGCTAAGAATTTGCACTTAAACAAAACTATGTATATGGGCACTTTTATTTTTGGTCTTTTTATTCTAAATTTATTTCTCACAGTAGGCTTATCACAACAGAACCAATTAGGCCCACAATCTATTGAGATGCATCGTAAGACGCTTTCTGACGTAGCGCCACAATTCAGCCTCCTGCAGCCTGCAAAAATACTCAGCTCAGCCATTGTAGATACAGATGAATTTTCCCCTTCTCGAGAACCTACTTCAGATCTGGGGCTCTCGACCAATATGTCAGCCGAGGAAGCGGCCAGCATAACTTGTTTGGCCGCTAGCACAAATAACGTTAAAAGCCCGGATCCCGACATAGCGAACCTTTTCTCCTCCATTTTACTAGTAGGCCCAGCTTCAGCTCATGCCATCGCTGCTTGCTCAACTGGAAGTGCTAGAACTGACCTCGTAGGGGGCGGCAGTCTGCCTTACCGGCTGCCACCTCCTCCCGCTAATCTGGGAAACTCAAATCTCCATGATCGTCAGGGCTCAGCTCGTTTTAAGAGACATCGGCGTTTTGGCAGTTGGACCAGTAAGCTTACATTTTATCACAATTGAATCTGCTTAAGATTTGCTCACCCGATGCATTTAATACAGCAAATTTCATTCTTTAGCTATTAGAAATGTATGACTATTACATACATACAAATATGTTGTCAAGGGGCATAAATACGCTCAATTATACCTAGACAGACACTGCCACATTTTCTGTCCTGTCACTAAAGTATGTCACCCCATAGCTGCCACTAACTTATCCTAAATAAACCTCATCAGATGCGGCTAAAATAGTTCAGCAAAAGGCATATTGCTTCCTTAAAACCCCGAATCGACAGGCCAAATTTCTATAAGCGGTATTTATCGATTGAAATCTAATGCTCCAAGTGTTTCGTTAAACAAGCACTACTGCAAGTCCAATGGAAAAGGTGGTCTGAAAAACATGCGTATAGAGCTCTATTTTAATGCCAATGTTCTGAGAAGGCTGAACTCCTATGTTGACCAACGTGATCACGAAACAAGAGTTGTGAAAATCCCTATGATCAAATCCTACTCAAGACGAATACATATAATGCATTGTCTTTGAGCTAGCCTAATATTATTCACAAGCTCCGTGGATACATCTTCTTTATTGAAAGTGTTTTAGACTGATATATTTACCTTAATCACAATACCAAGTGAACTGGCCCGAAATAGCCATCTTTAATAAAACTTTTGATTCGATTTTTATACCAGTATAGCTTCCTAAGCCGATAGTAAACCAGGCTAGTGTTTGAATGAAAATCAATCTATGAAATGCCCATTTTCAATTCTTTTTTCCCCTTTGACCTTGCACTCTCATTAGACCTCAACAATATTTTCGTTGTAAAAGCTGCCCTCAAGTTTAATCGTGCTCACCACAGCTTATCATTCTCATGAGTCTTGCTTATTTTGTCTTCACTTGCGAGCCAATTGTAGCTTATTCCGTACTCTCATGCAGTTTGCAAACCGCTTAATTCATATTTATGCGAAGAATTTTCAATATAAACCTTCGTGTCCCCTCATAAAATTACCCCTTTTATGAAAGCTTGAGTATTCCATACTTTAGGCTGATGCTCCTCATGTAAAAATTTCATTCATCCTTGCAAATATCAGTCAGGGAGTATGTAAATCGAAAATCTTAGGTTACGACGACGATTAGAAAAGGCTGTAGCAAGCCTTAGATCTAGGGATCTAATTGAAATTGAGTTTTTGGCGTCGAGACACTAAAAGTTTGTTCTGATTCAAATTGTGAATATCCTCTTACGGTTATGAAGATTGAATTTGCGTAACCTTCCCGTGTTGTTTACTACAATTATACGTATCTTACATTCAAGCCTCAATTAACAATTATTTCAATGCTTTCAGAATATTATCTTACCCTGTAGGAGTCTTTCAATTGTTTGACGAAAGCTCGACATTGATTCACAGTTCACCTAGAATGTTGTCCCTAGTACACGGTGAAAAATTTGTTGAGTTTAGCAAGTAAACAGATGATCGTCTTCCTACAGTCCTGCATGGGGAGTGTAAACGGATTTTTTTATCATTTGTTTATAAAGTCATGGAATTAAAGTACACGTTTCTAAAATTTACGTTATTCTTACTCCCCAAATGATATTTGATTTACTCATATTGAATATTTTGTCACCAACTATTGTTCTTTTGCAATGCTGCTATCTGATTTTTTGTAGAGCAGTTTGCTTTTTCAAAAACCGAATCAATTGCACTCATTCGTTAATTTGCTTTTAATAATTTTGC